TTAACAGTGTTTCATTAGCAAATTGAGCTCGTTTCTGACATAGTCGTGAAAATAAAAAATAACCTTGTCATGGTAATTAGTTAAAATATAAGTAGATAAAATTATCTTTTGTACAACGAAGTTTTGACAGTTATGCAACTGTAGAACTATCTTAGTTAATAGGGTTGCAACTGTAGAACTATCTTAGTTAATAGGGTTATATACAATGAATAGATTACCGTAGACACTAATTACAACTTGCCCACCTATGGAATAAATTTGATTACTAGAACAAGAAAAGTAAAAAATTCTAATTTAAAAAGCTAGTAAATACGAAATTTTGTATTCCAATATAAAATTAATATGCACATGCAACCACAAATTATGTATTTTTAAACTACTATATCAGAATTTAAGATTTATATATTTTTTTATAATTTTAATGATCAATAAATTAAGTTTATTTTGTCTTAAGTTTTTCCTCTACGTTTTAATGTGCAAATCAACCCAATAATCTGGTTATTTTAACAGACTTTTTAAATAAATAACTAGATAGGTTAAAGCATGAAAAAATAGTAAGATATATATATCATTCAAGCGTGGGAGAGCCATGCTACGGCACGAATAAGCCGGCTCGACCGAAGTGATACCACGGCCTCACAGAAAACCGACGTGAAGCAACGCTTGCGTTGTGTTTCGTCGTGTGAGTGAGATTACCGGAGGCCCAATTACCCTCCCCTTTCCCAATCTCCCCAATCTCTGAATTCCCAACGATCCTCAAACTCCTAATCCCCAAAAGGCCGGTAACGCACTTGTAACGCCTCTGGTGTTCCAGGTGTCCATGGGCGACGACGATTGCTTACCATCAGGTGATCCGTCTGCTCGTTTACCGGCTTATGGCATAAAAAAATATATATATACAGAGTGAAAAACGCCGACAGATGATGACAAAACACAAATATCTATATATATAAAAGAAAGTTGTGTTAGTTACACTACTTATAACTCAAGAACGCCAAGATCGATTTAGATGACAATTGGCAGGGAGGTAGCTTAGATCCAGGAGACGGACATAGGATACTTTTTATAGAATACTTTTTTTTTACTTTTTACCGAAAATCACGGAACGGGGCAAAATGGGATTGCGCGTACGAAGTCGCGGGCAGAAGCTAGTTATATTTATAAAAGTAAGGAATTAAATGATTCGTTTTTCTAATGATAGTTATAATCAACCGCTCAAGGCTAACGTTGCATGAATAACATGAATTAAAATACGATTGAATTTGTAAAAACAATTTCTTTTTGTCAGCGTTTCGGAGATGTTTCGTTTACACCCTGTATAGTTCTTTATTCAACAATTGCAACTCTCACGAAGAGAGTAGATAATGTGACAAATGTAGCTTTGGGAGGTAGGTACCTGTTCCTGATAGGGCGATAGTAAACGCCCGGGTGTGATCACTGCGAGGACCACCCGAAGATCACATGGAACAAAGGGTGGCGGTGTGCCCCGCATGGGTTGACCACCAATGTATTGTCAGGGATGTGATGGCCACTGTAACCTTCCGCATCCAGCCCTAGTTCGATCCATGATGCGGACCGAAGAGGGACTGGGATGCGGTCTTCTTCTGCGAAGCATTCTAGCTAAAGAGGAGGTAGGGCGCATGAAACAGTGACCCACATCCTCACAGTCAGTATAAGTCTGAGACGTCGTTCTCGTCTCACCCGGGTAACAGAAGTCATTGGATGATTTTCCTCCTTAAAAATAAGTATAAAAAAACGGTGACAAATGTATTCTACCCTAGTCTTACAATTAACAAAGACAAATAATTGTTTATTTTTCCCTATAAATTCCTTCGTAGAATTATTATTAGTAGCTTAGTAATTAATATAGACATGATAGCCATAATTTTAATACTTGAGAATAAATCTTAGCCATATATAGCATAGATCGACTTGATACAGGAAATAACGAAGGTCAAGTACGATGAAGTTTATATTTAGATTCATCTAAGCTACAATTTATGGCGTTCAAAGTGTCTGAGAATGAAACTAAGATCAAATTGATAATAGATTACTTCCGACAGTTAGCTATTAAAAATAATTAATATAAAATATTATTTTGAATATTTTTATAACTATCGTGAGACATACTAAATAAACTAAAAACGCGGGTTACTCACGTGAATATACTGAGAAAAGATCTACTAGTTTCGAACCACAGAGGGGGTGTCGTTGGGTGGGAGCTCACTGGGCTGAGCGAGCTGCGCGACGTCGCCGCGACCGCGCACGCTGCTCATGAGGAAGAATCCCTATATGGTTCGAAAGTAATATATTCTTCTCAGTATAGTAAGTAACCCGCGATTTTAGTTATTGTTTTGAATAGTTACACAAAAACTTAGTTTAATCAGATGTTATAAGATCAAGAGTCAAACGATTGTTAATGATTTTTTTTTGATTGCGCGATGTCGTAGTTGACAAAGCCCTTTAAAGAAATAAATAAAAAAAATATTATTTTAGGTTTTTCTTAAATGGATTACATTAGCCATTATTTACATTTTTACATTACATACATTACATTTTGCACTTGTATGATTATTTAAATTATTATGCAACCAAATTTTCCGGCCATACTATACCATGTCTTTGAGCAAACGATAATACCAACTTACCACCTTACAACTTGGGAATAATAAACCAAAGAAAACAGAGCCACAAATTAATAAGATGCTAATAAACAAAAAGCTAAATCATGTTATAAATTAAAGCAATAGTAAAATAAACAAAAACAAATTGTTCTCTTTGTAAATAATTCATGAAACTTGATCCCTTTGTAGTTGTAATTATAAAGGGAGTTAGCAGTTAACAATGTTTATAGTTTTGTTACAATTATCTAGGGATAGCTTTTGAAGTCAGATAACAATGGTTAATACCTACGTGTAATTTTGATTGTAAACCCAAGTGGGGCTTAAAACTGGTGCGATTATACAATTGATCGTTTTTTGAAGTCGTTTTCTAGTCAGCCTAAACTACACATGTGTACCTAGCAGTGGCTGCCTGGTTTTTGGTGACAAAGTAAATACAATATATTATTCTAGGCATTCATCATTGTTATTATACAATGTTAAGCCTTTGACTGCCGACAGAAAACTGCTGAAGGCAAATCCTCCTCTAACGTAGGTCACCGGTGACCTACGCGGAAGTTATCGTGTTAATTTATGTTTCAGGTCTAGCAAGTTTATAAAATCCATATATAACTAAAAAAAAACACTTTTTTTAAGGGGAGCAAATCATCGAATGACTGCTCCCGCCTGGGTGAGGCGGGAGGGAGTGTCAGACTCTTACTGACTAAAAACCACCCCGTTCCTTCTCCTGCACGTCGAGCTGGAGCCCCGGTTACCCGTTAGGTTCTCCGCGACAAAAAAAAACACTTCAACTGTGCACAAAGCTCTTGTTATATAGGCGGTTATATAATATTAAATTAACTACATTTTATGAAATGAGCTGGTAAACGAGCAAACGGATCACCTGATGGTAAGCAATCGGCGCCATCCATGGACACCTGAAACACCAGATGCGTTAGGCGAAATTTGAGGATTGTGGAGGATTCGGGGATTGGAGAGACTGGGGATGGGAGGAGGGGTGAGTAACCTCACCCACACGACGAAGCACAACGCAAGCATTGTTACGTCACGTATAGGTATATACTGTTACTTTCCCTTCGCGGTACTTGTGATTTGATTACCTAAGCGAAAGATTCAGTCAGAAGAAGTTTGGTAAAAACATTCGTAAAGTTCAGCATACGCCCTCCGATCGTGTTTACATAGACTTCACAAATTGAATAGAAAAAAAAATGTAAAAACTTCTTCGGTAAATAGTAAAAGTTCTGGTAAATTTTGTTGTCTCTCTCGAACCACTAAGCAATTTGCATGAAATTTGTTCGTTTATACGATTTTTCTTTGACATCAACTCAACATTGTTTTTTGTTGGAGTATGAAATTGTTTTTGTAAGCCGTAATCTTAAAGGTCAAAGGTCATTATTATTATGTTTAAAAATAGACACGTCTTACCACAATCATTAATGCTGTAAAAAAAGTTAGTAAAAAATGGTATAATTGTTTTTTTTTTATTAACACTTTAATGCACACAAAATAAGGTACATACATAAGGAGGACTTAATGCCATATGGCATTTTCTCCCAGTCAACCTATGGGTTAAATTTTTCTGTATCATAATAACCTACACTTGAAAAAAATTAAGTATTTATTAGGTACATAGGCACTCACACCAAAATAATAACTATAGGTACTTACTTACAAGAAAAATAGGTTTCGTGGCTTGTACCCCAGCAAATTGTTGAATTAATATATATTTTTTATTAATTCAACTATTATTTTTATACTTTACGAAATATTTTCTCACGCTAGATTTTATTTTATAACTTATTTTTTCAGCATTTTTTTATTAGTTCAACACAAACGTTAGCATAATTTGAAATTGTTTTGGACGATATTTTTATTACATTTTGACGAAATTATTCAGAAAAGTAGGTATGATAAGCATAGCAACTAAATATATCTATAATATTTAATCGCTTAATTTATTCTCGTTTCTCTGGTAATTGGGCTGCATCAAATTAACATAACTAAGAGGAGAAATAAAAAAAATAGATTGTTTACCGCATTCAATTTTGCCGATTTTTCGTTACTAGTCATTATTTTTATATTAAAAACCATGCTAGATTTATGACCATCAAAATACTTACTTATATTTTTTCCTTATCATAACAATATTTTAAGTATTCTGATATTTAAGAAAAACTAGATATAATTAATCATAGTTCCGACAAAAGCAACCCACGTACGCATAAGAAATGCTTTAGACAATTTTATTACGAATTAACTAAAATATTTATCTAAACTCAGCAGACAGGGTAATACATAATATTAACCTTTAAAATCTTAAAAACAAGTTATTTATAACGATCATCGCATTCAATATTAATAAATTACATAATTCGACAGCCAACAAATCACCACAATGCAGTGCATAAAATAATTGGAATAATGATAAAATTTTGAAATAAAATGTTAGAGGAGATCGTTTATACGATTCTCCCGAGTACACGGACGCTGAGGTGTAAAAAGAAACCTTATGCCAATCCAGCAAAAAGCAGAAAAGAAGAAAACAGAACTGAAGATGTTAGTGCAAGTGAAATACTTGGAGAAATCAGTGTATCTGTGGACAATGCTGAAACACACGCGGTTAAAACACCTCGATTCAAAGTGTCAATTTTGATGTCATTCCTCATATTCTATGTATGTGTATTAAATGTGATAATCTCGTGTGATGTTAGTATTAGTGATGTAAATATCAAAGAAAGAAAAGGGGGTTTGTACGCACGTGAAACTATTAGAGAAAAACCCAAGTACTGGTATGGACATAGACATGATGGCTACGAAGGTTACGGAAAAAACCTCCGTAAAAGTCGAGCGTCAGCTAAAAGACAGACTGATGACGGCAAACCAGAAAAGTACCCAGAAGCTCAAGAATTTTTTAAGTATGATTACATTAAGGATAAAGAAGATATACCAAATGCAACTCAATATCCAAACTATTTTCACATGGGTAACAACATTCGCGATGACCCACGAGCTGTGGGATATCCTCATGATCTCGCATCCCATCCGTATTTTATAAAAAATATTCAGTTCAACTTAAGGCCAGAAAGGCATCAATTTATGGAGAAAATTGTAAAACTTGGTGTTTTACTACCGGCTGATGAGAACCAAGTTTTTTCCCTTGGAAAAGTTTTGCCTATCATAGAGATGGCAATACCAGCTGTTACAGGAAGTGATGGACCACTACCAGGCTGGACCATCCTAGTAGACTATAGAGATACAAGATGTTCTTCTGTAGAAGGACCTTTGGCTGCTTTTGAATTCTACGTCCATCAAGCTGCTGGTAAGCTTTCATTCATTTCATAAAAATAATAACTGATGGTGTTGGTTGTAATTCTGATAGACTGTAAAAATATTTTTAGTATTTTAGCGTTGCATTCATATTCTATAGCTCTGAATTTTTTCAAGACTGTCTATGAGGTCGGAGATATGAATATAGATGTATATTTCAGATGCGTTTATCGGTCCTGGTTGTGAGTACGTCATAGCACCAGTGGCGAGGTACGCTGGACCTTGGGGCATTCCTGTCCTGACCGCCGGGGCGCAGGCCGAAGCTTTTGGGTACAAGGTACCCAGTTACAGCACCTTAACCAGAATGATGGGAAGCTACACACAAGCCGCTGTCGCGATCCGCAAAGTCTTTGAGGTAAATTCCTGGGAATTACGTATAAATGTTGTATATGTAAAACTATTTGTCCTTTTTGACGTGAGATGTTTTATTTTCGTTTGCGTTATTTTTTATTATGCTTGATCGAGTTTATCGTTTTGTCAATGTCAATGTCTGTGTTTTGCTTTTGTATTTTGTCAAGGTTCGATATTACTTAGACATCAAAACAAGAGTTAATATTTTGTTAAATATAATTCCTAAAGACTAATGGCATAATGGTTGAGACAAACTCAAATATCAGAATAATGTGTCTAGCTAATTATTCATTCAAAACAACAGACAATACTTTGATCATCGTGTTGTTTAAAGAAACAAATGAAACAATAGAAAAAAATTGAGAACTCTAAGAAGTCCATTAGTAATTTAAAGTACAATTCGTATTACATAATCGTTGTTCGTGGCCTGAATAGTAAATTAGGATAAACAAATAAACTCATAAAAATTCGAAACTCGTCGTAAATAAGTCAAATGTTAAGTAAATTGAGCAAGTATTTGAACAATTACAATTAAAAATAGATTGACAAACAAAAGCAATTGAAAATTTGAATAAAAGCGATTTATAAAAGCAATTGGTAGGAAGCCAAAATTTCACCCTGGTTTAATTTTTTGTATGCTACTTACGTCGCACTAGGTTAACATAACATTAGAGATAGTTGGCGCAATGGTTGGTTAACCGATTACTGTGTAAGGTACGGTTCGATTCCCGCACTGACCAAAAAGTGTAATTTTCTGAGTGAAATGGCCATTATTAGACCGGAGTCAGGAAGTTCGGCGGTGTTTCACTCCCGTGTCTCGGAAAGCACGTAAAGCCGTAGGTCCTGTGCCTGATCTCTCTCCACTGGTGTTGGTTTGCCGTCCCATCGATTTAAGAGAGTAAGGAATGGAGAGTGCACTTGTGTTTGCGGACACACTTGTGCATTATAATATTTCCTGCATAGTGAGCTAGCCTGCTTAGACTTGCCACTATGATCGAAATCGATCGGGAGATTTATTATTGTAAATTTGTGTTGAAATATCGAATAGCATCGAATATGACAAATGTTTGTTTCAGAAGTTAATAGCTTATTTTAGACGAGTAAATATTTGTAGTTCATCCACATAATATTAATATTCCAATACCAAGTTTATCCTTTATAACGGACATATATTCTGATTGTACAGACTATTGTGAGTCTCACAATTGACGATTCCAATAATAAATTGGCTGACCCGGTCATACTCCATCAGATTGTAAACATAAAATCAACCAACAGACTACTTACTATAAAATTGTAATTAGATCTTATAAATAATTTCTTAATTTTGGGCTTCATCTAGATTTGACAACTGAATATGTATAATCGTCTGATCCATAAAGTTTAATCTAATTTAATTATCATATGGGCTAAAAAATGAAGATATGATTCAAATTTTCTAGAAAGTTCGAGAAAGATTCTATGCAGTATAACTTTGTAGGTACAAAATGGTTCGCTGTGTCGCTCCTTACAAATTGTGTTGTCACTATCATCTCCACTCTGCATGAGACCAGCTAGCAAAACTATGTATAAGACGGGAATTATTCGCTGATCCTGACATTGCATTTAAATACTGGGTTTTAACTATCTTTGGTTAAACTTGAAGTGTAGATTTAGGTTTTACTACAATACTAACTTTAATGTCGTTTGTCTAGTATGAATAATTTAGTATTACTACGTAGCAGTAGCTATAATTTGATCTTGTTAGTGTATTTTTGCATTATCCATTCATTTTATATTACAAAAAAGTATAATTATTTATATGATTAACAGTTTTAAAGAATTGTTTCTTAAAAAATATTCTGTAACATTCTACTGCATTTCGCAACCAGGTTACGATGAAAGTGAATTCATGTATTCAGACATAATCAATACATAGTATAAAACAAAGTCGCTTTCGCTGTATGTCCGTATGTATGCTTAGATCTTTAAAACTACGCAACGGATTTTGATGCGGTTTTTTTTTAATAGATAGAGTGATTCTTCAGGAAGGTTTGTATGTATAATACATGCATATTGCACCCGTGCGAAGCCGGGGCGGGTCGCTAGTATTAAATAAAAATAAAAGCGACTGAACCATCGATCAAACTAGTGTAATACCTGTTGACAGCTGCACTTATGCTTCTTTTCAAGTACACAACGTTCAAAGCAGAGAAGTCGTACATACTTTGAGTACTCACAATACATTAAGTGTTGAAACCGCTTGGAATCCTGCCCACTTTTAATAGAAAGCAATCGTAAAGATAGTAAGATTACACAGAAACCAAGGATTTGGAACATAGACTCTTTAAAAGTATTATTAGAGGTCACAAGTAGAAATGAATTTAAAAATCTTGGATTAATAAGCAATGAAAAATCTTCAAAATGTAAACACTGCAATAGGTAGATGACAGGGTATGAACATTAGCACTCTAATTATTCTCTCAGTTAAATAATAAAAAAAAAATAGACACGTATTTTTTATTTTCTCGTATAAAGTTACAACACTTAGATAAAATGGCACTAAGTTTATGCATGGGACGTCGTGACGTCACAACGTGCTATAAAATGTACAAAATGTCACACGATATTTTGAATTAATATATCGTCGAAGGTACTTAATTTTGTGAGAAAAGATAAAATACGTGTCTAATGTTTTAAATTTATCTACCAGACGGACATTAAAATAAAATTTAGGAAACTATCCTAAATATTTCTGTTAAGGGTGGACATTATGGCTTTTCCTTATATAGAATATGCCCACTGTCCATTTTTTCATCTTTTCTCACATTTACAACAGTGAAAATCCACTGCTGGATTTATTATGATAATGTATTTTGTTTAAATAAAAAAACAAAAATCAAGTAGTGTGGGTCCAAATCGGTCAACCTGACTTTCTTAGTACTTAGTAGCGACATCAAAAAATCGTAAAAGGCCTACATCATTCCCGTCGATAAAGACGTAACATCTATATCAAAAGGCTGATACGTGATTAGACTTTTTATAGCCAGGTCTTCTTTATAGCCTGCTCAGACCTAAGCATATATTCCATGGACCGTTAAATTGAGACCGATCTTAGGACTTTTTTGTATAATATTTCAATTTAGTTTTTTTTATCCTCTCTTTTTCTTGTATAATGTTACGCAACATTTATTTAAATGTATAATATTTTATGATATACATTCCAGACTAGTTTGACGAAAAGTAATTTTGAAATAAATATTTTTTTAATTAGCTGGGAATTCCTATTATCGTGAATATATCTAATATAAGAAAGAGGCCATGACAAAACAGGATAAACAACCAAAAAAAAATATAATTCAGAAAATGTGGTTGTGTTTCATCCAATACCATTAGTCTTTTTAATTTGTTGGTTGAAGACTCAAAATGTAGATTTAAAGTGACTAAAATATTATATAGATTTTTATCAGCCAATAATGCATAGATATTTTCTGATCTATGCGAGGAACACAATTTTATTGCATCAAATATTTAATTCAATACCTAATTCGCGTTGTGAGAGTGTTTGATAGATATTTTTCAATCTTTTGGCTAAAGTTTAAGGTCATCCATTTATTATAAAAATATTCATTCAAAAACGAGCGTTGCTTAATGCAGCAACAAAATTACATGAACACAGTTCACAGTAATATTTTTAGCAGAAGCAAAAAACAAATAAAACATTATTTGGTGTTTAAATGTGACAATTAATAGACTGCACGGTTGGCGCGATGGCTGGGCACAAACATACATACCGGTCAAATTGATATCATCATAACATCACGCCTTTTATCCCCGAAGGGGTAGGCAGAGGTGTACATTATGCCACTGTACAATGTAACACCCACTTTTCAACTATATTGTTATGAGTCCCATGTAATAGGGGGTGAGCCTATTGCCATATACCGGGCACAATTCCAGACTCCGTGCTACTACTGTGATTTTTTGATAAACCCATTAATACTTTGCCCGACCCGGGAATCGAACCCGAGACCCCTTACCATGCAGTCGCATTAAAACATGAAATTTTAAATGCTTTAAACGCTATTGCGATTTCATTTCTAAATAAGAAGTCAAGTATTGTGATTAACCGTGGAAGACTTAACGGGTTGCCGGGGCTCCGGCTCGACGTGCAGGAGAAGGAACGGGGTGGTTTTTAGTCAGTAAGAGTCTGACACTCACTCCTACCTCACCTAGGCGGGAGAAGTCATTCGATGATTTTCCCTCTTTAGAAAAAAAAAAGTATTGATTGAAATCTAATTCTTCTTAAGGTTGCTTTACGCATCTCAATTTTTAACACAAGTATAATTATCTAATGTTTTATTTTATAAACTAAAAGTGTGGTAAGACGAAACCTGGATTCGAGTATGTAGGTAATAATCATCTTAAACAATTAAACGTTTTTATACAAACGTAGAAATATAACTAACCAAATACAAAGAGCGAACCAAATGCAACCGAATACGTCTAGTTCTAACTGACTTAAACTGGTTGTACCTGCATTGTTCGACAGTCGAATAACTCATGAATATTATCATTTTGTTTAAATTGTAAAAAGCTATAGGTATATTCAAATGTATTGTTGTTTGCCAACGAAGCGATTATTTTAACTGTTATTGATCGAGTAGTTTTCCGTAAATGAGAGGTCTTAAGTTCAAATTTCAGAACTGAAAAAACATTTGTAATGTAGGTTCAAATTTGCATTTTTTGGCACATTGCGGGAGATTAAAATCTGTTTTCTACTAAAATAAAATGGATATGGTATCGGAAATTGGAGTAGAAAATCACCTTAGCCATTTTATTATTAGTCACATTATCCAATAGGTATTTCTGTGTGGTGTACATTATTTTTATTTTATTGATCTTGTTTGCATATCCTGTGTCTGTTACAGCTTTATTTATTTCTTTGTATTGTTTTATTTTTTAAACATAAACAACCATTCTATTGAGTGTTATAAAATAAAATGCTTGTTCTGTGATCTGTTTTTTGTTTTTTATTTCTTTTTTGTAATGTTTTTTTTTTATTTCGTTTCGCATTATCGATTAAAGTAGTCTTAATTAAGTAGATTTAAAATAACATCCTGATCTTGACGCATTTTGAGGACGATGTCATCAAACTGTAAAAAAAACTGGATTCTTATCGACTTTTTAAATATTTTTTTATGTTATAAAAGAACGCTTGCTATTTTTCTTTTTGTGTAAAAAGGTCCATAATATGTTTTTGTATTGTTGCAGGAGTTCAAGTGGCGTCGCCTAAGCATGCTTTACCACAACTACGATCCTGCTTCAGGCAAAGGGAATAGTCCTTGTTTTATGACCTTGAGTGCAGTAGTATCAGTTCTGAAGAAGAATAATAAAGGAGACAGCATAGCTGCTACAAAACCATTCGATGAAAACAACATTACTACCACAAAGATAAAAGAGTTACTTCACGAGTTGTCTAAACACAGTAGAAGTAAGTATAGGATATAGATTATAGGTAGATATGCGACTAACCAAAAAAAAAAAATTGTAAATAAAAAACGTGCAACAAAATGTCTTGAATTGATTTTTTAAGAATGTTTTTTTTTTATTTTAATTATAACTCGGTGTTGGTTTCTAATTTATATTCTTTTTTTAAAAGTTCGTACAGTGACTAGCCAGTCAATTAACATCTTTGTGATTTTTTTCAACAGATTTTTAGCTTTATTTATTCGATAGTTAAAAATCCAATTAAAAAAATTGCCAGAAGTAGGTTGACTTACTGGCCACAACTGACTTATATGCAAGAAATGGGGTAGAGAAGAATAAAAACTTAAATGGCATTATTAAAAGTTTGTACATTTGTTCTTTTGTATTCTTTAATTTAAAAAAGAGGCATATATCATGAACCATTAAACATAGCAGAGTCGGTAATCCTGAAATTCTAATATGTAACGTGTTCACAGACCACTATTAATAAAAGAAAACATATTTCCTACAACTCGTTAATTATGAACGAATTATAAATTTCAAAGTTATATAACATTGGAATATATATGTTCCAGGTAAAATTTGTAAACAGTTGGCCGTTAATGTAATCCTCTTCGTATCATCTATTCTCAAGGGTCCTCAAACATAAGGCTGACCGTATAGTCGATAACCAAGCGATAATATTGAGTGCTTAGTTTTAAACAGTAATTGTAGAATTAACCTGTAACCTGTGGCTTTATCCACATTTCCGTGGGATATCTGATCTAAATTTCATCCCGATCCCTTTAGCCGTTTACAACAAACGAACGATTGTAGAAACTTTGACATTGGGATATCAGTCACTGTGGTTGCGATAGCACATTTAACTATAACCTATTTTTGGCTATTAAGTAAGTTTGTGATATCGTAACCGACACATTTTTGACACATTTCATATGAATGATAATATTATATAAATGTTTATCATTTATACAATGATTATGTTTAATTATACACCAATTACAATGCACAAAACCATTTTGTATTGTAACTTTTGTGAGACATACTAAATAAATTATAATGTTTTCCGCTTACTCACGTAGTAATTTGACGAGGAACTCGACTAGTTTCAAGCCATGCTAGAGGCTCATAGTCATGACCCGCGACGCGGCGACTGGCGCGCTGCTACTGTAGCAGCGCGACAGTCGCGAAATGCTGCTCATGAGTTTTAATGAAATTATACAAACGAGTTCCTCGACAAATTACTAAGTGAGTAAGCCGAAAATATAATAATTTATACAAAACCTTAACCAAAACTACGTTAAAACGTTACCTAATATTACATACTTCTCCAATAAACATCAGACAGCTTGTCAGTTATAAGACAGACATTTCAGACTTTAATGATCACTTAGCACCACATTAGCTTCTATATAAAATTCATAGATTTGCATAGATTAACCTCATCTACATTATAATTTGACAATATTTATTTTAAAGTTATTCAACTGCTTGAATTTTGCTTTATTAGTTGGCAAATTATTTTATTTAGGTTAAGTTTTATTATCCTTTAAATAAAGAAATACTAAAAAAATGAAAATAAAATATATATAAGGTATGTAAGTATATGCTACAAAGCGCCACCGACGACGATCCTAATCTTTTTTAGCTTCATCCGTGATCATGACTCGGGAGAAGTTGGAATTGGAGACAAGATAACATAAATGAATGATTTGCCTTCAAGATTAATCTGTTATAATTCAAAGTCTACAGCCTTATTACAAGCAATATGTAACTAAATAATGAAAATTAACTTGAATGAAGCGAATTCAAGTTTAGGAGTTGCTTGTGGATAATTACATCGTAGGAAAAAAATCAAATTGCATGCCTTTAACTCGTCGAGTACCGGTTTTGTAGACACAATTATAGAACAATAGGTTGCGGTCACCGGTGACCGCTTGGTGTTTGACAGTTTAAGGAAGAAAATGGTTAATAGACACTATTGTGTTTAAGAACTTTTCTTCTGTACCCATGTTCCCAAATGAATGAATGAATAAATTATGATTATTTTAATGGTTAATACAATTATGTAACTTATGTCTAAGGTTATTTTAGGGTGTGTGTATTCAACCTTGCAAAAGCAGTTTATCTGTGACTATATTCTGAAATAGCTGACTGTACATTACGTGAAGTTTCCACACAGGAAGGGTTATTTCTAGCAGCTATAGTTTAATGTGAATTATGTTAGGCATAACTTAATTTTGGACATAATAGCTAATTGTGAGTAGGACATTAAAACCTTATTTAGGAAATTATTTAAAGTACCTCATTAGTTATGACATTTAATTACGGAGTATAATAGGTGCTTACATTCAATACCCTGGCTTAATGGTTTATATTGGAGTTGTATAGCAAATTTTTTATAAAGTAACGTGGAGAGAAGTCGTTGTAATACCTGTTATGTATGCCATTAGTTTAGGTAGAGGGAACATGAAATGGTATAATCCTTTCACTTCATCTTCATTCATCATTATCTTCATGTCCTCGGCGACGACCCTCCATTTAATTCTGTCTAAGAACATGCTATATTTGATGCTATCTAAGTACATGCTGAGTGGAGCCCACTCAATGTTAATAGACGTCGCGGTAGGCCCGCCATCTCTGGCGGGATGAACTTGACTCCTATGAAAAAGATTGGCCACAGAACGCTATCAAAAGAGATGAGTGGAAGGAGAGTAGGGAGGCCTTTGCCCTGCAGGAGGAAGGCCATGACTAAAAATTAAAATAAAGAGCATGCTACATTTTCGAATTTTGAATACATACGGATCGCAAAACTGCGGGTACTTACCGAAAGATGAGCAGTAGTAGCATTCTCTAAATATATGTCTGAATCTTTAAGTGCCTACGAAGCCGTGAATGTCTTTTCAGGAGGGATGTCATTTTTCAATAGAGTACACTTTCCGTCGATTGATCATGATGATCACGTAACAAAAATAACTTGATACTGGACGTAACTGGTAAAATCTACTAAGGTATTTCGTTCTATCTGACATTATCAGATATATAAATTAACATTTTTGACGTGACATCGCTTCATCTTGTTGTGTGATGACCCTTACTCCACCAGTCTTCATTTATTCTTACCACCTGGTTCCCTTATTTGCATCGACACCGGCACAGATACTCGATATCATACTATTTGAATTTTAAATCTCTCTGTAGCACGTGTATCGCAGGTATGAAGAAGCTCTGGCATGCAATATCTAAGGTTATTTGATTTATCCGTCTGTGCAGTCTGAAAACTCGACACAGATACAGTAACTATAGGTTGGCTCCTAAGCTGTTACAAAAGACATTTTTAAAAGAGTACCGAATAGAGTTTCTTGCTCGTTCTTCTCCATTCGAATCTACATTTTGGAATGAGCACCTAGCTTCACTGACGGGCTGGCTGACAGACTATTATTTATTTTGTATTTGTTGACGTTTCAAAAGTACCAAATTATGCTTTAATTAAATTAAATAAATGACTTTGACTTTGGAACGATGTAACTTATTTAAAGTCTTACTATTTCGTATAGCTAACATTAGCTACACAGACATACTGAATTAACTAAAATACATAACAGCACGCCTTTTAACCCCGAAGGGGTAGGCAGAGGTGCACATTATGCCACTGTACAATGTAACATCCACTTTTCACTATTTATGTTATGAGTCCCATGTAATAGGGGGTGAGCCTATTGCCATATACCGGGCACAATTCCAGGCTCCGTGCTAGTACTGAGATTTTTTTTTAAAACCACTAATACTTTGCCCGACCCGGGAATCGAACCCGAGACCTCTTGCCCGGCAATCGCAATTGCGACCACTCGGCCAACGAGGCGGCCAACTAAAATACGTATGTAGATATATCATCAAATCACATAGAACACAAATTGTAATCAGTCCAAAAACATATTACGTTTATTTATTGACTGAAACCTGCAAACACATATTATGAAAATTAATCCGGTTCTGCTAAATTTCGCATTTATCACAACATCTAAAGCGAGGTCTGAATATAGTGTACCATTAATTTTCAGCATAATTTATATGCAACGTAGTTAATACCTACTCTTGGCAAGATGAACGATGACTAAAACGCTCAAAGTAACTCGGCGATGCCAATTTAATTGTAAAATAAATACTATATAATATAGGATAATATACACAGGTACAAATCAACATTTATTTACTTCTCATTACTTCCAGATACAAAATTGTTTACATAAGTGGCCAAATTCATGCTAAATACTCATTGCCAAGCTCGGACATTGATATCGAGAACTCATTACAAATGCGATATATCAAAGAGACAATAATAAATTAAATACTTTTGCACCACGCAGGCAATCCTTCATACTTGCGGCAAAGAGAGCGCGAAATCAAATTATGCAAATTAGTCACTCAGTAAAGACTGTGTGAGACATTATATAGTCCTTTACGGAATATATTAGGTACAGTATATGATTCTCCTTCATAATTCAGTTGAAGCAAACAGAGTTACAATTTATGATAATTACTGTTTAATGTTTTAATATGTTGGCATCGTATAATTTGAAAATTTTTCAGAGTCTTAAAGAGATAAAGAAATGAATTAAGTTTCTGAGATTGTCGTTTTTTTGGCAGTACATAGATATGTCTGCATGATCTATTTTATACCTGGCGAAAAAGGTGTGTTTTGAAATATTCTAAGTGAATTGAAAACCGACGTGAAGCAACGCTTGCGTTGTGTTTCGTCGTGTGAGTGAGGTTACCGGTGGCCCAATTACCCTCCCCTTCCCCAATCTCCCCAATTCCTGAATTCCCAACGATCCTCAAACTCCAGGTGTCCATGGGCGACGCCGATTGCTTACCATCAGGTGAACCGTCTGCCCGTTTACCGGCTTATGCCATAAAAAAGTACTTACTTTACTTATAAGCTTTTCCTCTCTGCTTTTATTCAAAAAGACTTGAGTTCGACACAACATGTCTGTTTTCTTCTACTAGTAGAATTCTTCTACTTCTAGTATCTACTAGTAGAAGAAGACAAACATGTGGAACAGATGGACCTAGTAGCAACCTAATCAGACGTCATCTTATCACAGACGCTCTGTCTCTCACTGTTTTCCATAATCATTCTTCTACTTCTGAATTTTCTTTTATTATAGTCTTTCTTCTACTTGTTATTGACAAAAATACTACTAGCAATAAATTCATTTAACGATTTGTTAATGTTAAGCAGCTACAAATTAAATTCTCTTTGATGTGTTTATACACAACGTTGTAAAATATAATTGGTTTAAGATGAAAGATGGCGTGTTGATCCGTGAATTCAAAAGTGAATTATTTATAATCATATGTAATTACTGTAAAATTAACGATTCAAAATTATGGCTTCCTATATATTTCTGGACTTTATTAATAGGTCCAACTGATTACAAGAACATTTCTGTTTATTAATTTCAAATTAGCTCGTCTTGTTTAGCTTTGATGTTAAAGGTTTTTGAATACCTGGTAGGTAGTATTGTTCGAAATTCTATTTTGAGATTATCTGTAATAACGCTAAGTTTAGAACTTGATGATGACTGACGCTATTTGTATGTACAATTAAAGAATTATTTTTTTATAATAACTAACGTGAGAAATGCTAAATTAAATAAAAATTTTGACGTACTCACGTAAATATACTGAGAATAACTTCACTAATATCAGGGACTCTTCCTCATGAGCGGCGTGCGGTCGCGGCGATGTCGCGTAGACTTTTAGTAAATTATAAAATTATGATAAAAAAATATATTTCATTCCCTGCTAAACACATACCGTTGCATTATCGTCAGTAGTATATCAGAAGCTATTGATGATGAGGATAATCATGAACAGCAGTACTTAATCCTCATAAGTCCTAGCATATACAGAACAATTTGTCCGACATGATGATGTCCCGACATTTCTTTCTTTCTATATTGACCACACGGTCATCCTTACACACAAATTATTATTTTTTTAAGTTCCAGCATTAAACCAAATGCTCTATAGGTATACAATTTTTTTAAAAATAAATACCAATTATATTTATCTAGCTAAAAATATTGTACAGACTTTAAACTCTATTTCAAAGCGATACAATTTTTTTTTGCAGCTGAAATTAAAATTATGCTTTAGACTCTATTCGTTCCTTCTTATAGAATAAGTTAAAGAACGTTCCGGATAGGACATTAAATAAATAATTCAATAAACAGTAATTTCGTACTACTAGCAGGACTCGGAACAAATTATGAGGATACCAAATGTTAAATTGCGTAGCCGACACTGGGTAGTTTATTGTTGAGACCTTTGGACGCGGTAGCAATAGAAGAATTTTCCAACGATTTTATTTGTAAAACGATAATAAACATTATTTTTCAGTATTATTTGCAAATATATGTACGTGGAATTGATTTTTTTAATATCTATCTTAATGGTTTGCAATAATTATATTTACCTATTTAACACATTCGTAAATGCCATGTGAACAAAGTGCTAGGCCACCGAAGTATTTATCTCATAAGATATTTGTTGGCAATCAAAGTTATATAAACTAAAAGATTCTTTTATATTTTTACAATAAGCGTTAACTCTGTTTAGCAATGCTTGTTAGCAATAAAATAATCTATTCCATGCACAGTGCGAAATGTAATATATCGTCGTTTCAATATCCTAATATTATTGTTTGTTACAGTTGTGGTAGTGTGTGCGAACCCGAGCACAGTTCGCGAAATAATGTTGGCAGCGGACGATCTGAACATGGTGTCATCTGGCGAATACGTGTTCTTTAATATCGAGTTGTTTTCTAAGTAAGTATCGAAACGCATGTACACTACACAATCTACTGTAAATCAATATGAAAATTGAGGCTTCTCTTTTTTTTCAATATCTTTTTGCTCCTTACATCCATAAATAGGTTTTCTTGTCATCAGACGTACCTAATTGTAGACACCGTACCTATTGAGAAAATTGAACAATGCAAAAATAATGTTTATATAGTTATATATATAGAGGTATATGTAGAAGACAATACACCCATTGGGGGTACTTCGGAAAACGCGGTAAGTTCGGTACGAGCTGGCAGAACAACCGCTCACCCTCGTGTCCAACTCAAAAGTGACGCCTATCAAATGACAACATGCCAAGCCCCGTACCGACCATCACCCAAGCACACTGCTTGACGTTTCCGACAAATGATAACAGATGGTGTTGTTCTAAAATAACGATACTCGATAGTTGTGCATCTTTGTTAATTCTGCGATATATATATCTTATTCGCGATAATATGACACTAGTCTGACCAGAGATTACACATGAAAGGTTCCAATATTCCTGCGGTATAGTTTATTAAAATTATGTTAGTAATCTGTACGTCATGGTGGCCCAGAGGTTTAAGTAAGTAAGTAAGTACGCCAACTTCTTATGCATGAGGGTGCGGTTTCGAAACCTACCGACGTTAATTACCGATGTGACTTTTCCGAGTTATATGTACATACTTTCTAAGATTATTTCGGTACCACTGACAAACAGTGAAGGAAATCGTGATTAAACCAGGGCTTATAATTACTTATTGTAAGTTTGAAATCACCAACCCGCATTGAGCAAGCGTGGTGATTAATGCTCAAACCTTCTACATGTGTGAGGCTTTGCTCAGCAATAGGGATTTATAGGCCGTTGATGATATTAATCAATATGACTAGAATGAAATGTTGTATGATTTACAATAATTTATTAAACAAAAACCCTCTGAGTATTAATGCAACCATTCGAATAATAAATAAATTAGGCTACAATTAATTATGGTTTTCATTCGTACACCAAACTAATAATAATATTTCCGCAGCCTCGCATCAGCATCGTCCAAAGAACCGTGGAAAGTAGAAGGTGATACTGATGAACGGAACGAGAAAGCCAGGAGAGCATACAGTGCTGTGCTGACAGTCACCAGCCCAGCTCCGGAGAAGAAAGAGTATCTAAAGTTCTCTGATCAGGTAAGAGAACGACCGACTTTATTCTTGATATAACATAACATACCATTTATGTTACGAGTCCCATGTAATAGGGAGTGAGTCTATTGCCATATTATTATACCAGGCACAGTTCCATACTCCGTGCTACTAATAAGAATTAAAAACCCAGTAATAATTTGCCCGACCCGGGAATTGAACACTTGCGACCACTCGGCCAACGAGGCAGCCAGTCGTTGATATAAAATCCCGAAAATTTGTTCATACAAAAGTAGTCTCTGAACATCAGAAATAAGGTATATAATGGAGTTAGTGGAGATCGGTCACCGCTTGGGAATTGCTTTATTTTTTTAAGGGATAAGCCAGTAAACGAGCACACGGATCACCTGATGGTAAGCAATCGGCGTCGTCCATGGACACCTGGAACACCAGGGGCGTTATAAGTGCGTTACCGGCCTTTTAGGATTAGGAATTTGGGGATTGTTGGGGATTCAGAGATTAGGGAAGGCGGGGGAGGGGGAGAGGGGGGAGAGGTAATTGGGCCTCCAATAATTTCACTCACACGTCGAAACAGAACCAATCACTTCGGTCGAGCCGGCCCATTCGTACCGAAGCATGGCTCTCCCACACTTAAAAACACTTAAAACGTAACGTCTTCTTTGTGGGTTAATGTATAAGTATGGGTATGTATACAGTACATACCACCTACATTTCAACTGTTATGTTTAGAGTTAGTAATATGCAAAAGGTCATGCGTAGGTACCTACATAGAATTTCACACTTTGTGCTATTACTGAGAATTTTTGATTCCGATAACAATGCGTGTCCTGGAATGCAAACCTATATAATACTCCGAGACCCCTTGCTGGGTAATGATAAATGGGTAATAATAAAGCCAACGTGGCAGCAAAACTTATACGTTCTGAGGCCTTAGTATGAGTTTCATTTACGTTTAAAGTATTCGTAACGAGTTCGCGTTCGGCACTCTGATTGGCCGGCGCCAATAAAGCAACCAATCGGAGCGCCGAACGCGAACTCGTTACGATTACTTTAAACGTAAAACAAACTCGTACTAAGGCCTCTGGATTCGATTCCCAAATCAAGCATTGACCTTTTTATATCCAAATTAACGGCAACAATATCATTTATTTTGCGCCAGATACTAAATCGAAATGAGACAAGGATTAAACGTGACAATTAATTACATGGGCAAAGGTCTTAAATGATCTGAGATCTAACAGACAACCTTTGGGTAGACTGTAATATATGTAGTAGAGATTTAATGAACAGAAGTTGGGTAATGACCCGTTAATAAAGTAGATGTATAACCCCGCATAGTACGCGATGACTTATCAGTTTATTATTTTGTTTTGCTTTGATGTTTACACATTATTTTAGACTGTGAGGGTGGGTAACATTTTGTTCCATGATAAGAGATTCCATCAAGTACATAAAACATGTGTTGTAGGTACTTTATAATTAATAGTTACACGCAATCGTACTTGGATTTGGATTCTCAGTATTCTTACATTTTCAATACGAAGCGCAATTAGTTGGATATTTTTTTATATCACATCGTAATTTCATTATTATTTTACGTAAACCGCCTTTCTTATTTTTCCACAATTTGTTAAAGAGAATAAATAAAAAAGTTGAGTTCAATTCGAGTGTAGTTTAATTTTTTATTTTAATTTTTACTTTTAAAAATATGAAACTTGTTGCTAATCAATACACATTGTCTACAGGTGAAAGTATTAGCCGCTACGAAGTACAACTACACGTTTGGGAAAGGCGAAGTGGTGTCTACGTTTGTAGCAGCGTTCTATGACGCAGTCCTTCTCTACGCACTCGCACTCAATGACACGCTTCGCGATGTTGAAGATCCGAGAGGACCGCTTGATGGCGCTGCAGTCATTAGAAAAATGTGGAATAGGACTTTTCAAGGTAAGCCTTTGATCATTTTTGCCAATCTGTACTTTGGACTAGACTTTCTTTTTGCAGTAGTCGATATTTATAATTAAAAAAATCTAAATTCTAATCTAACATTCAAACTGTCAAACACCAAGCGGTCACCGGTGACCGCAACCTATTGTTCTATAATCGTGTCTATAATGACGATACTCGACGAGTTAAATCAAGTCATTCATCGAGCTATGGCTCCACAGATAAACCAACAAACATAGAGACAACATACCGACTCATATCACTTTTCTTATTGCGCCTGGGTTCAAAAAACCTGTTTCGGAACAAAAACTTAACTAAATTTTAACCCATTCCTTAAGAAGTTGGTCTGCTAACCCAGTAACATAACAAACTCTTAGACACACAACCCCTCGGTAACCTAAAATCAGGAGCGTAACGAAAATGTCATCCTGCATGAAAGTTGTACAGTTACACACCAACTTTGAAAGTACCGTGCAAAGTTAACTAATGTATGAAATGGCAGTTTGTAAGAAGATGGAACTTACATAACAATTAGACTTCAGGATCTTGATAACTTTTCCATTGTTATGTGAAACATAAAATACAATCACGCTTTATATCCAAGGAGTAGACAGTGGTACACATTACGGCACTTAATGCCACTGTACAATGTAACACCCACTTTTCACTATTTATGTTTTAAGTCCCATGTAATAGAGAGCCTACTGCCATATACCGGGCACAAATCCAGACTTCGTGCTACTACTAAGATCTTTTTAAAAACCCCAGTATTGCTTTGCCCGACCCGGGAATCGAACCCGAGACCCCTTGCCCGATAGTCACACTTGCAATCACTTGCAATCATACAGTCAATGTGAAACAATATTAATTCTAACTTTATCTATGTTCTGAAGTAAATTTTGTTGTAATAACGCTGCAGTAGTGGCTATTGTGTTGTGATTACATTTTTAAACGATTTTAAAAAGAATAAAAGGACCTTCTTATAGTTTGACCTGAGTGCTCTTTGCGCCTTAAAACCCCAACAAATCGACCATCTTGAAACCTGACCAACCAATATCGAATTATTAATGGTGCAACTGATTTAAGGCTCGTACACAAAACTGCGATGCGACGTCGCATCGCCATTTTGTATTCGAGCATCAAAATCTTATCTTCCCAAAATCTGCTTTGTATCTTTTTCCTGTATCTCCTAAGTAATAACAGAAGTGCATACTTCTTTTTACTATCCATATCATGATCTAGTTTTCAGTTTAAAATACGTTTAATACGGTTGACGGTCGTTGAAGGAAAGGTCACCCTGGGAGACGCATTGTCGCTCGAAATCGCATCGCAGCTATTCGCATCGTAATTTTCTGCGTTGCGAATTCGCATCGCAGTGTTGTACACAAGCCCTTAGTCTAACTTAACATACACGATACACGACGTTAATAATTGTGTTAACGATATACCCTGTGGTTACTCGAATTGCACCCTTAGGGGATCGACACAAATGCTCCTTTTGCACATAGATTATCAGTTATGTTATTAGGTTCTTGTAACAAGAGACAAGGCAATTATTGTTTTTGATGATGTTATATCAGTGATCGAAAGTCCTTATTTCCCTGCCCTACAGGCATCCACGAGGGTTGTAATGACACGTGTATCTGTAAGAGGAAAATCTCAAATTTCCAAGAAAGAATAAACTTTTTTAGGAGTCCAAATGAACAAGTATTTTTTAAGAATATATTACATACTTCATTATTTATTTCTAATTTTTGTGTTCTTTCTAGGAATAACTGGAGAAGTGGTCATCGATTCGAATGGTGATCGTGTGGCTTCATACTCACTGCTGGACATGAATCCTAATACCAGCCAGTTTCAGGTTAGTACCTACTTTATCATAGTTACAACATGGTTAGTTCCTATATACCACCATAAACAATTCAATATATTATTATTACTTTCCACCCAGATGTGTAAGGGCTATTACTTACGACGACTTTTTAAAGGCGCGACAGCATCGCTAATTGGTTACTAACGCATCCTACTTTTATGCGTCCGTAGCGCCTGTGTCGATGCAGACACGCGACAACATCGCTACAAAAAGTCGCCTTAGGCGAGGGCCCTAATGATTATGTTGAGAAAATTAATGAAAGCAGAAATATCTATAAGGTTGTCTAAGAAAACGTAGAATAAAGACATCTCCTTGGATATATTATATTCATTGAAAATCTTTATGAACAATAGTAATATAGTTTATAGTTTCTGCATGCAGATAAAAAATATACGTGAGCTTAAGTTAGAGAAAGGCCAGACAATACGGTCATTCACAATAATACGTTAATTCATATTTTAGATGGAAGGCCATCTGCCCTCCACCCTAAAGTTGACAAATAGCCATTTCATATCTCCGCCATGCCATCACGACTTTATGTGTGTATGTGACTTGTGTGCCAAGTAACATAGAAAGTCAACAGAAGTTAAGCTCAGTGATGTGTCTCGGTTGCTAATGAATAGTTTTCATGCATTTGAAATTATGCTGGATAAAATTAATTTTAGTGGACTGAAGTATATATAGAACTAGCCGACCCGGGAAACTTTGTACTGCCTAAAATTTTATTTGTCAGCGTTTAAACCTTCCCTGGACTTCCATAAAACATTTCAAGACCAAAAGCTGCGAGAGTTTTAGCGAGGCTAACGAACGGAAATTCATTTTTATTTATACAGTAATATACTTTTCGGCTGCTTACTAATGTATCAGTTTATATGGAACATAGTATGGTTCCTAAATTCGGAAACAGAAAGAATTGTTTAATTAGATTAGGTGATCATGCCTGGCGGGCTGTTACTCAACAGTTTGACTTTGAAAGGTTTTCAGAATACTTTACTATGTGTTATACGTCATCATCGGTCTCCTAGTGCCATCTGCTGGATTTTCCCTGAACTTGTATTCAAACTATGTATGTCATTACTCGTACGTTCATTTATCATGTATCATTTATTGCGTTTAAAAGTAGTGTCAAAACTTTTATGTGAATATTTCAATTTGCGATTTTGAAGAGTATAGTATACTCACTGCTAACACTACATAGTATAAAACAAAGTCGCTATCTACCGTCTGTCTGTCCCTATGTATGCTTAGATCTTTAAAACTACGCAACAGATTTCGTAGCGGTTTTTTAATAGATGGAATGATTCTTAAAGAAGGTTAAGGCTGAAGGTTTATATGTATAGGTTTAGATAACACATGCATATTGCACCCGTGCGAAGCCGGGGTGGGTCGCTAGTATTTGATATTAGTATTAACTAAAAACAAATCTAGAAAATTAAAAACAATATATATATATAAATGGATTTATGTTTGTTAAACTACTATTTCATTTCAGCTTTGTATTAATTTACCGGGAATGTCGGATCGTTGAAGGCACTCGTTGCCAGATTAAACTACATTGAATTAATTAATTACGGACATAATGGATACTTTAAAGCACTTGTACATAAAATTAAAATGTTATATTGTACTGTACAATTATTTAACATAAAATTGATACTGCTTGGTTGCCAAAATATTTTTTTTTTTATTTATTTATACCTATACGCTTTATTATACACATTTAACTATCTCAAGAAATAAACAATTCAAGTAGGTAAATATACAATGGGCGTTGGAAATACTTACTTAATTAAAGCTAAGATGGATTCAAAAAGGACTTTATTATTAATAACTTACATTATTAATATAGTACCTCTATATTTAAAATGTTTCCTTCTTTTCTATTTCATTCTCTCGTTTAACATAATATTATCTTCATAATAAATATCTTTTTTATAATAATATTATTATAATTCCCCACATAATTAGAAATGAAACGAAATAATAATAGACATTATAAGATATCAAACAAGATGTAACTGTCGCACTTTTAATACACAAATATTTCCTTTGTGATTTTTCTTCTTGTAATAATTATATACTTATAACATAACATAATATAACATCACGACTTTTATCCGCGAAGGGGTAGGCAGAGGTGCAAATTACGGGACTGAATGCCACTGTACAATGTAACACCCACTTCTTACTATTTATGTTATAAGTCCCATGTAATAGGGAATGAGCCTATTACCATGTACCGGGAACATTTCCAGACTGCGTATTATTACTGAGACTTTTTTTAAAAACCCAGTGTACCTTGCCCGACTATGGGAATCGAACCCGAGACCCCTTGCCCGGGGTCAGTCGCACTTGCGACCACTCAGCTGATGAGGCAGTATAGGCACAGGCAGTTTTAAACTTATACATAACAGTAATTTTTGAACTTCTATTATTTATTATTATTTTAATAATTACCCTTTGATTATTCTTAATTTCATATTATTATTAGCCAAAAATATCAAAATTGAAATCCGGAACCTTTTAATATCGGAACCCACGGTCCTAAGTTCCACAAAATATTCCTTTCCCTATTTCGAAGAAGGGCTTCTTATTAAGTTCATCGCCCAAGGACTGTCGTGAAGTAGCTGTATTACATCCATCAAATATAGCAAAATGTGTAGGAGATACAAGCGTTTGTTGCCCTTTTAGGCAGGCTTTAGTACATTAACCGACTCAAAAAAGGTTAAAATTCGTTATTTTAAACACAGTTTATTGACAATGATTAATTATTATAATTAAGTTTCATTTATACAACCACCATAAGCCCAAGAATGATAGTAGACCCACCAAATCTACTAATAATTAATATACAATTCACATAGAGATACACAATCATATCTCAAGGGTTGACCCTTAGCCCTTAACTTGGTTTTCGTGAAGTCAGCGCAGTGTAGCAAGTTTAATTTTAAACAGTTTTGTTAGGGCCGTGATACCTCGCGTTATAAAAAGGGTTTCGCTTGTGTAAACTTGAGCCGGGATTCTGTTGTGGTTACGTGGAACGAACTCCGTTAATATAAGTTGACATCAGATCAGACGGTTCATTTTTGTATTTCTTTCGGCATCTTTTACTCAAAATGATAATTCTGAACATGAAAATGAAACAGGAGTGCAGATTGAGTTCATTAGTGATCCAATCCAACGATGTTAGATTTTGGCATACGGCATCATTTGCTCCCACTCGGAATGAACAAAACATGAAGTCTGTACACAGAGTGAACGTTCACTGGGATTTGACAATTAAACTAAAGTGATTCCGAGACGCACGACATCACTCGATGATATATTTAAAAATTTCATTGTCATGCCACTAAAGTCTTCTGAACATGGAATGACAGATTTTAAATGAAACATTCACTGGGGTAAATATTATTTCGATCGAACCGTCTGATATCACCTTAAAACTCTGTTCAGAAGTGAAAGATTTAGGGATGGCCAAATACGTTGTTTTAATAAAATAATAATGATGCTTACTTAAAAAGTAACAATCTTGTTTGTTTATCTTATTAGTTTCATAGAAAAAAAAAATACTAATTAGGCCTCGTTAATCAAATAATAGTAAATGCGATTTGCGAGCATGGGGTCTCGGATTTGACGGCAAGACAAATTATAAATTTAATACTGCTGAAAACATAAATAAGTTTTCACCCATAAATGTAAACATTTTGCCACAGATGATATAGGTATATTATCTGTGGCAAAAACCTATTTATGTTCTTCTTTTGTTTTTTAACTTAATAAATTTTGCCAGCGGCTTTGCCCGCGTCCCCGTGGGATGAAAGTAGCCTATGTGTAATTTCAGAGCGTCTACCCCTGTTTAAAATCTTCAAAAATTGTAAAATTAAGGCTTTATTAGTCTCACGCGGACGGCATGCGCACCATCAGCGCTGATGGTCGAGATATATGAACTTGGTGGTCAGCGCTAGTGCCACACCGTGCGCGTAGATAGAGTAGAAACAGATCCTTACATATATTAAGTGAAAATCGGTAAACACAATGGAAAACACTCTTACACTGAAAAATCTGACAAAGGGAATCGCACTAACATTTAAAAACATGAGAAGAGCAGTATTGTTATATAGAGAAAGAGACGAGCATGCAACGGCATACCGATTTAGAGTCAGATCAGCGCTCAAAATACTGGAAGACAATCTGATAGACAGAGACCTAGAGGTGTCACAAATAAGAGACCATCTCTGCAGCGCCCAGAAAGTAGTTCGAAGGCTTGCTGAACTTAATAGACCACACACCCCACTTTTTAAAATGTCTGACTACATGGAGTTGACATCTGAAGTTGACGGATGTATTTTATTATTAAATTCATTAATAAAAAATGATGACACAGGCCAGACTTCGGGAAGCAATACAGGGAGTTCAACGGATACTGAGAGTGAATATGGAGACATTTTGGGTAAAATAGATTAAATACATGGTGTAGTACCAGTTTCATCTAATTATGAATTGAGGAATAATGTAGTATAAGTAGATATGAATAATTTACATAATCTACAAAGGGTATTTTATTTATTTTCACTTAGCATCAATTATGGAATTAGAGAAAGAACATCAAAAAGTAACAAAAGAACTGGTACATGAGAGAGTGAAGAAGAGAGGGATATTAAGCTACATAATAAAAGGAAGACGCTGGAAACCAAAGGAAAAGTGATTTTACTCTATGAATTATATTTAATTGAATTGCAATAGCATAATAAACAATAGTACAAATGAAAAGATCATGTTTGCTCATATTTCATATTTTTTGCCTTTAAACTATTTTAATTTTCTACAACCAATTTATAAGTTTATTTTTCATGCCTCTTCTATTGTACTTGTTTGCCTTTACGTTTTTTTGTTCTTGTTATATTATATTAATATTTAATTAGATAATAGTTAAACGTCAAACACGTTTCCTAGAATATATGTATATCGGCCAGCAGCGCTGACAGTGC